AATGTTTATATAAAGAGACATGGCAAAATTATTTTCTATACTTTCCTAATAAAGAATCTGCCATGATATACAGAACATAATAGAGTTATTCCAGAGCTGAAAGTTCAAAAACTGCTCATTATAATCCTTTGCACAAGATTGAGTTGTTAATTGGTTGACTGAAAGAGTAATTTTTATAATTACTGAAGGGTTGCCACATATAAAGTCTTAATAATAATTTTATTATTCCTAGGTATTTTTAGTGTTACCATTGGTAATAACCATTTATAAAGCACTGGAAAATACATTTGTTGTTATTCATTCGGTGACTGAAAAAATTATACTTTTTTCTGTATATATCCACTGATCTTTGAATTATGAGTAAATCTCTAATAAAAAAACTGAAACAGAGAAGTCTCATTTTGATAATCTTGAGGTGAATTGTTATTCTAATGTGATCGAATGTTTCATGTTAGTGCTTCCTTGACCAATCATTTCTTCAAAGTTAATGTTTAATGCAGTATGATGGGTAATTTTATAAATGAAACCTAAATATTTATTTAGATCCTTACTGCTCTTTCATTTAAAATAAACTCAATTCAGCTCTAGCCAAGAAAGTTTCTTTAAACATTTCCACTCAAGTCCATCCTTCCTGAACTGAAAAGGGCATATATTTGAGTAAAAAACTATGTATACCTGCTACTCACTTATTAACTATTTCACTATCATACATTTCACTTCAGTGACAATAGTAAAAAATATACTGTCTGGCTCTTTTGCACCTTAACAGTATATATCTGACATTATTGAATGCCCAGTTGTGAGGCAAAAGTAATGCTGGCTGTGATGGTTAAAGTATGTGTCAACTTAGTTGGACCATGATTCTCAGTGGTTTGGCAATTACGTAATGATGACATTTGGCAGTTGTGTAATAATGTAGTCATCCTCCATTTTGTGATCTATTGTGATCACCTTCCATTATTGCATAATACCCGGTTTTACATAAAAACCTGGTCTTTGGAACTATACAGTATTTATAAGTGAGGAATGAGTATATATACTTTGCAATACTCCAGTATTTTTATATTTTAATTAATGAATTACCTCAATCAAATCTTATTATATAAAGATCCCATATATCTTCCGTGGCTATTACAGAGACATACTAAGTAAATATTATCTTTGGAGAATAGTTATTTCTTAAGATATCAGCTCAGTATTTACTATGTATTATTTTGTTTGAAAGAATTGAATAGTAATGTAATTAGATTTTCTTTAAAAAAATGACTATTTCTATAATATTTTATAAACAAATCAGACACAGAGGTATCTGTTTGCCTTACTGTTGTACAGGATCTCAGCGAATCAGTGATAGTGACATCTCAGATTATGAGGTTGATGATGGTATTGGAGTAGTTCCTCCAGGTGCGTGGCTGAAGAGCATGGCCTGACTTCAATGTGCTTCTTTGCTTGTTTTCACTGTCAGCTTCCAGACTTCTTCAGGATACTTAACTAGAAATGTGTAGTACAGAGAAACCAGTATTAATTATTACATGGTGACTTGAGTTACGAAATATTAAAAAAAAAAAAGTTTTAAAAGAACTAGTACAGTCATGCATCGCTTAACATCTATTTGGGGAACATCCAACCTCATATAGTTTCATGGTCCCATAAAATTTGGAAGTATATACAATGGTTCATAATGACAAACAGGACCTACTTTGCAAGATACATCAAATTCTTATTCTTTCTGTATTATTATGTTAAAGATGTTTTAGTGTATCTGAAATTGTTTCTTAAATGCTTTTTATGCATCGAAAGATACACTGTATACTATATACTATAGACACTGTATACTATATAAGTCAAACGTGGTAATGTAGGATAAGCACTGGACTGGGGTAACTGCAAGTCAACAGTTGAGACCTACCAGCCACTCTCGGAAACCTATACAGATCACTATGAGTTGGAATTGACTCGACAGCATACAACAACAAGAAGTCAGATATTTGACTCACCCACCTGTCCTGATTATGTACAGATCTGATTTAGAAATGAGACTCATTCAGAATCTGAGGACTGCCTGTATATATGGTGTTCTCACAATATCCAAACAGCATAAGATCCTATTTCACAGAACATATCATTAATGTTATGCGATTCATGACTGTATTTAACAATTAGCATCCCATACTTATTGCATTTAGTCAGGTTCTTCCTTAGAAGCATGGCTACCTAGATTAAAGAAATCATTACTTCACAATGCTCTGAGCATAAGAGTAAGTGTGTAATTTGAAAGGCTTTGGCCCATTTAAAAAAATATAAACATTATATGCTTCTTTATTTTATATTGTATTTCTATGCTTTTCCTTCCTCCATTTCTGAATGTAACATAGCCCTCCATGGAATATACTGAGAAAGATGCATGGCAGGGTTTCAAACTGCATGTGGCATGGCTATAATTTTAATGGTTTTGTGATGTGTTCACTACTTATTATTACCTATAATGTATGTGTATGCTTTAAAATAAGGAAATGCTTTAGAAAGATTTAACATTTGTTTGAAGCTAGCATTTTTTGTTACTGTGTAAGCTAGGAAAAGTTTCTGTGACATTGTACAATTCTAATCTGTTTCACATAAAAGTTTGAGTAAAATCAAATAGCAAAGCCTTATTAACACTACTCCTGTTATATTCCCTTGATATTGTAATAAAAGGTAAGAAAATATTCAAGTAAGGAAAAAATAGAGTCAAGACCAGAACTTAAACTTTTTAAATTGTTAAAGACAGTTCTTTAAGACTATGCTGGGGTATGTACCCTTGGTTAAAGTAATTTCAAAGATGAGGATGAATTTAGTTTGAGGACAATAATTGAAAAAAATTATGGGTTTTCCATCAAATTCCAAGTTGAAAATTTGGAGAGCTACACACAACTTTATTGAAACTAGGATAAATTTATGGAGAGTTCTCTAAAATCAGATTTTATTTCCTTCCTGGAATTCAGAGAATTTAGTATTTAAACATTATATGAAAATAGCAAACAGTCTTAAAGCAATAAATAATGTGTGTCCATCTCCATTAGGTAATACTGTATTATATCATAGTATCAGTAAGTTTTGAATTATTGATCGTGGTAGATAACATTTCATATATTACTACCTGTTTTTTATTTGTAAAAGCATTATAATGCTTAAATACCTTCTCCACTGAACTTTACATGCAAAATTGAATAGCATATTGGAGTTTTATGAAATTAAAAAGTGTTTATACATTAAATCCATTGGCATACTCAAATAGAGATCAGATGATTTCTGGTAGGAAAAGTCATCAAACCTTCCTGAGAAGAATCTTGGCTCTTAATTAGTCTTAATATTGCTTTTACTAAGTCATCTAAATAGACTATGCTTCTGTGTGTGATTCCCACATTATATTGACCTAAAGTATCATATTTTTAATGAGACAGGATAGTGAATGAATGAATGACTAAAAGGGCAATGGAATAAATAAATACAAAAATGGGGAGTTTTGACTCTTTTTCTGAGAGGTTACATAGACAACAAGTTGTAAGAAGACAAGGTAAAAGTTATGGAACAAATATAGATGGAATTAGTACTTGGACATTCCCCAAAAATATTGAATTCTAAAAATACGTACATTCCACACCAAAATAACTTCATGATGTTTGGAAACATACAATCTCTTTTTCACACAAAAGAAGTGTATAAATGATCATTTCATTAATACTGCTCCTTTTTATCTAGCATTTAAAATAAGAGAAAAATATTGAATAGAATATAACTAATAAAGTACATAACCAGTCAGATATTTTAGAGGTTCTTCATAAATCTAATAAAGGGAGTAATGCAATTTGTTTATATTTCCAGATGTAGTTTTTGTTGATCCAAAGTACATACTTGTAGCTAGTAAAGTTGTATACATGGGACAAATAAAGTGCTGCAAGGTATACACAGGATATACACAAGATATACACAAGATATGCACAAGATATGCAAGGAAAGATGAGGCATTGGTAAAATAAGGACAAAAGTTAGATAAGCTTAAATTAAAAGATAAGTTAATAAATGAATGACTTAATAATATATAATAAAATAAATGAATACACTATGCATTCACATACACTTTTAAAGTTTGATTGCAGATTTGGTTCTATGACTGTTGTTGTTGTTGTTAAATGCTGTGAGTCGATAGTGACCACTATATAAGGTTTCCAAGGAGCATCTGGTGAGCTTGAACCACCAAATTTGCAGTTCAAAGGACTTTGCAATCGTATGCATTAGCCCACAGAGCCACACCAGAACTCCTGTGTTTACCAGTATCTGATATTAAGAGAATAATTGTTTCGATCTGAATGTGAGTTCTACATATACTTAATGTGCTTAGTGAAGTCTTGGTTGCATATCCCCAGAAGAAGCCTAAAAGCTTATTTCTAAATGATTTTCCATAACTGAACTTTAATTTCCTGATAACACCTTAGTTGTTTACTTTTAACCACAAAATTTTTAATTTTCCTTTTAATAAGAGAAAACAATGACTCTTATGAAAAAATTAATTGCTCTAAATTGGGCTTGAAGTTACTGTTTTATCTTTATCAGATCAGAAATGATATAAAACTTTCTACTTCAAGTGAAAAGTAGCTGTTGGGATTTATTTCTAATGTAATTATATTAACTAGATTAACTGAATTATGATGATAATTCATGTAATTATGTAATCGTTTCAGGTGTCCAGGATAAACTTGATGATATATTCTTTGTGTTGCTCTTATTAAGTACCATTGAGTTGGTTCCAACTCCTAGTGACCCTGTAGAGGGGTTCTAAGGAGTGGCTGGTGGGTTTTAACCACCAATGTTGTGATTAGTAGTCCAGTGCTTATCCAACAGCACCCCACCAGGATACCTTGGGCTAATTTTCTCTGCATTATTTCCATAGTCATCTTCACTCCTACACTACGTGCATATATGACAATAGCAGTATTATCTGCAGTTTTTAAATTCTTTTTTTTTTTTAAATAGTGAAGATCTGCTACTCTTTATTGCAAATTAAAGTTTATATTGGAAGAAAAAATCAAATAGCATTTAAAGAGACACCAAGTTTCTAAGCATTGACCTGTATACTAACTATAGTTCACTGTTCTGTTGAAAATCACTAACTCATTCATTTTTTACATTTAAAGTAGTATCCCAATTCATCATAATGTTTGAAGCATCATCTGTCATATTCGTATTCATAATGGTATCTTTGAACCAAACTGTAACCTGTTTTTATGCATGTATATGTTACACTCTGTGTACATATACTTAATACTTTTGATGATAATGCTAATAATACAAATTGCATGGCATTTTATCTTAATAGATCAATGGCTGCTTTTGATGTAATTTTATATCTCCACATTAATGTTTATATTTTATAAGAATATTGACTAATTTGTTTTGTGGACTCTTACCAGTAGGTTATAGGTCTAGTGCTAGAGAAAGTAAATCTACGACATTAACTGTGCCAGAACAGCAAAGAACAACTCATCATCGCTCACGTTCAGTATCTCCTCATCGCGGCGATGATCAGGGAAGGCCGCGTTCACGTTTACCAAATGTGCCATTACAGAGGTAGGCTTTGAAATGGACTCAGTTCCTGACTTTTTAAGGAAAATGTGATATAAATATACACAAGACTCTAATTGAAATGAAATAATAGTTTGGCCGGTCAGTTTTTTTCTGAATCATTTCTAGGCAAAATACATTTTATTACTCAACCTATGCAATATTTTGTTAAGAAGTTTCTCAGAAAGTGGAAAATATTTATGTTCCAAACTCAATTTTTAAATAACTCTGTTGTATTTTTTTGTTGTTGTTACTTTTCTTTCCTTTCAGGAGAAAGTGTATGCTAATGAGTCAGAACTGTGGTGTGAAGTGGTAGAGGATAAGGTTAAGAGGAAGAATATGTTTTTCATAAATTTACAGATTTCAAACAGAAAGATTGTCTTTTTGAAGCATTTAAATGCTTGGGAAAAAATGTGTAATTTAGTGCTTTAGTTCATCTTACCCTGAAATGCACTTCTGAAATTTTAATTAACTATACTTATGAACCAAAGGTTGGCAGTTCAAAGAAACCAACTGTTTCCTCGAAACCCTATAGTGGGTGGCTAAGAGTCAGAACCGACTCTACGCTACTTAACAACACATGCACGTGAAGATTGTGGTCCTTTTTTGATTGAAGAGCAAAAGAAAGTTGGGGAGATGAAGCATAGACAAAATACTCCAGGAAATAACCCTTAACTTACTGATAAAATAGGATTTTGGTCATGATGCTAACACTTTTTAAGCTCTATCACTGCTTGCCAATTTGATTGTTGTCAATTCTTTTTGCTTAGTCTTTCAACCCTTTATTGGGAAAATGGTACACTTTGACATATATAAATTTTTGTATCTTTTAAGGAGTTTAGATGAAATTCATCCAACAAGAAGGTCACGTTCTCCAACCAGACACCATGATGCCTCCCAAAGTCCAGTTGATCACAGATCCAGAGATGTGGATAGTCAGTATTTATCAGAACAAGACAGGTATTTGTCCAAACCATGATCTCAACATTAATTTTCTTTTGCTCTGCTTTAATTTATGGCAGATATCTTGGGCATAGTACAATAGAGAGTAAAAGTATGTCGTCGCTCAAAATGGATCTATTCTCAAGGAATAACTGTTAAGATATTCTAATATAAATGCAATACTAGGGAATAGTTGGCTAGCATTGCATTGTCATATTTATGCTTTATTTTACAAACAAAATTTATGAATAGTTTAAAATGTATAACTTTTCATTTACTTAAATGCTGATTTATATTATAGAAAACGGAGCTTACATCATCAATTTTCAAAAATTTTATCTTTTGCAGGCTGCAATGTTTGGAATGTTATTTATGGTAGCTATCCATGTAGTTTTGGATATAAGTTATCTGAAAAACAGTTACTATTGCAGAGTTAATTTGAAAACTTTGGCAATAATGTTTTTGTTATATACTTCTTTTTCAATAAAGTATTTACATGAAATGTCTATGAAGTACAAAACCTAGGGATAGATATGTATTTAAGTTTAGTTCTGCATAGGATTATGAATAAATATTTTGTGAACATAATCTCTAATTAGTCTGTTCTGTGACTCAATTGTTCTACATGTCTGCAGACTGTCTTCTCAGAATAACCACATGCTCATACAATATGCTTCATCATGAGCTCAGGATCCTATTGTAGATTTTATGAGACCCATTTTGTTGAGTAGTCTGCTCATTTTTAGACATGGTAAAACTTTCAGTGATGAGTAAAGAAGTGATAATGAAATTGAATGATTCTTGTGATGCCATGTAGTCAAGAACAGAGTAAAAGGTTCTTACTTCCCCAATTATCACCCAACTGTGGGAAGTGGTGCCATGACTTCCAAAAAAAGTGGAGTCATAGTGTGTACTGCCATGGGGAAGCTCTCTGAATCAGAACAGTCTTCAGATGATTCACCTTCACTTGAGTGAGGGGCACTTGTCAACTTTTTTGGGGGTTCCATGAATTCAGGTGAGGAGGGAAAGCAAAGGCCTTCTTGGTCAGAGTATCCAATATTGTGAAATAAACTTCAGTGTAGAAAAAGTATTAATTTTTAAATTAAATTATCCTGATCAATTATAAAAGTCTGAATTGGTTATAAAAAATAATAGTCTGACATTGCATTTTCACGTGCTATAAAAGCAAAGAAAACTATCACACTTAAGTTACTAAAAAGAGATCAAAATGTTAGGGTTCTCATTTGTATCAGAAAAGGCCATATTTATAAGCCTTTTCAAAGTCGTTAAAATATCCCAATATCTAGAAGTAGATTTCCCTATGTTACTTAGGGAAGATTTCTTTTTAGTGTTTTTTGTTTGATTTTGTTTGTTTGTTTATTTTGATAGTCTAGAAAATAACGTTTAAATACTGCAGCAAATGAGAAACAGCTAGGACTTCTACCATAATGTTTGTACTTTATTGTTTAAGTTTTTAAAATACTGTCATGTTTATTTTTGTTTACTCTCTCAAGCAAATATGCTAGTGCATACAATCTGGTTTCTTCCCTTTTATGTTTTCATTGGCATACCACTGGCATAATCCATGTCATTTAATGCCTCATACTTTATATCTGTTTCACTCACCATCCATCCTGTCTGTGCAGTGAGCTTCTTATGCTGCCCAGAGCAAAACGAGGACGAAGTGCAGAATGCCTACATACTACCAGGTAAATACAGGGATTTGGTGACGGTGACTGTTCTGTGATGACTCACTTTCCATTCTACTATTCTTCCGTCTCTCCTTTACTCGTATTGATATACAAATAAGGTAAAATATATCTCCCAAGTTTTTGAAATTCTTTTCATTTTATATGGAGGTCATGGGAAAGGGCCCAAATATATATCAGTTCTGCTCCAGGCAGCCGGCTTTGCTATCTGTATATTAAAAAATCCAGACTAAAAAGGCTCTTTGGAACAGGCCCAATTTCTACAAATGAAATTCTTAGCAGAGTCTTCAGGCATTCCCCCATGCCCATCACACACATCTGTCTAGTCACAAAAACTCTGATCTTCTGTGCATGGCAATGTAATCGTTTTTATGATTGCAATTTTGTTCTGTTTTAACTTGTTTTGTTGTTCTTTTGATTTCCTTTTAAAATCTACTGTTAATTTATATTCTATTGGCTTTCAGTGAAATCTTTATCAGTTCATTTTTAATGGCTAAGCTTTATTCATCTCCCTTCTTGATAAAGAGTGAAGGTGTTTGGCCTGTTAACATCTAAAATTCCTTCCCTGGGCCCTCTCTGAATTCAGAAATTCTACAATGCAATCATTCCCATAAAGGCATGTAATAAGGATTGTTGTTGTTGAGTGCCGTCTAGTCAATTCCGACCCATAGCAACCCTGTGTAGGGTTTCCAAGGAGCAGCCATAGGATTGGGTGACTCTAAATTGGAGCTTAGAACCTGATGCCAATTTTTAGTCTCATTTCATCTTGAATTTCATATTCAAAATAAAACCTCTTACAGATTATTCATAAATACAGTTAATAGATATCTATTGGTAATTTGTAGTAAACAGAAAATCAAGAAGTAGTAATTCATTTAGACAAATTCTTTATTAAAAAATGGACAAATAACAAGTCAGAAGGAAAGAGCTATATGTAACTGAAGACCTGTGATGTAAGAACAGATATAAGATTCAGTTTATCTATGTAGAATAATGTTCAATAGTATAAATATGATTGGGATAATAAGAATTCTTAAAATATGTATAAATATAAATTTGTCGTATTGCTAACTAATGTTTACTTTGGGTGCTACAGGAAAAACTGAGGTAATACTAGTTCTGCTTGCCAACCAGAAAAATGACATAAAATCATAGCTATTGTGAAAGCTTGAATCCTTTGTAATAATAAACTATCCAAGCTTATTATTTGTTCATCCCAACAAATAATTTGCCAATAGGAATAATTTGTTTAAAATTCAGAAAGTTTTTTCATAAGCCTGTTAAAGTGACAATAACTTATAACCAACCAACAGTGACAAAAGTCCTTTATGTTAGGCACTTGATTGTGTATGCCTGGCACTGAGTACGTGGGTGTTTCTAACATACTCACATCAGTAGTCTAATTAAATAAAATAGCTACAGATGTCCTCCCTCTTTTTTGGTATCTCTATAGGTGAAATATCAGGAAATGCAATGTATGATATAGTTGCCTCATATTGTATAATCATATCTTTAAGATTGATGCTCTATTAATAATTCTAAACTCCATTTCTCTTCATTTTTTAAAAAAGATATGACCAATTTATTGACTTTACATTTCCTGATTTAGTTGAATAATCATTTGTATATGCATACATTTTAAAAACAGATAATAACTCTGTGAAGGCAGATCACACTCTGTTACAGATATTACTACAATAGCATGAGCCATATAAGCATAGCCAGGTTACACTGCCATGTTTGTACTCGTGTGTTTTTAAAGGTGTTTAATTTACACCTAAATAAAAATAGATACTAGCATATGTATATATAAATAATCACAGCTTTTCATGACTGCATCAATAATGTAACTTTGATTTAATATAAATTACAGAAGTGTATTTGTAGTATAACCACATATGGGTGAAATCTTAATTAAAGCTCTCAAAATGAATCATATCATATTCACTTAGGACTTTTTAAAATAAAATCTGGGAGTACTACTTTCTCTAGAAAACATGAGGAAAATAGCATTTATTGAGTACCAAGCACAGTGTTAAATATTGAATATACTTTATCTCAGTTTCTTGACAGTAATTATATCATATGAATATTATTCTCACTTACAGATCAGTAAAAACATTGAAAAAGTTTAATTTGATAAGCAATAGGGTAAGAATTCATAATCTATTTGATATTGTGCACTAAATTAGTACTTCCAAATATATGTCCTGAGGAATGGTCCTGAAATATACTCCATTAAGTGTCTGTGAGTCAAATAGACTTTGGGAACACTGCATATTAAACCCCGTCCTTGGAGACGTACATTGCACAGCACATTAAAATTATGCAAAAAAAATTTAGTCTCATTTTGTTTAATCTTATTTTCCACCAAATTATTCAAACACCAAGCCTATTTTCATAAAATATGTTCTGAGACAATGGTGCTGTGAATAAAATACTATAGATGCCCCACTATATCTCAGGTACTTCAAACGTGTTATTCCATTTGATTCTCACAACAACTCTGTAATTATTTCCCCCACTATGTATATAGAGAAACAGAGTTAGAGACTGGAACTGAATTAGCCAGGTTCAAGCCAGGGAGAGGTATGAAATTAGACCTTTAGACTATAAACTCCATGCTTTGTTCCCTTCTGTGCTAACCCCTCTTAGAGAATTCCTGAAAAAAATCACTTTGAGACAACTGCTTAGAAAAGTCGTATAATAGCTTGTAACTAAAGCTATTTGTTTAAAGTTAGAAGTAGAAAAGAAGACTTTAATCTCTAAAGCTAGCTGAATCCTTGCTTCTGTAAAGTTTATCCTCAAGTGTGCTGCAAAATGATACTTTAATACATTTTAAATAGAAGCTTTAAGGAATTTAGTTTGATTTGGCTATTAATATTAACATGAAAAAGCCAGTGGAATGTTTGATATTTAGTATGTCCTTAGCAAACATCTATTCCTTCACTTATACTTTAATGAACGCTGAATATGATTTAATGGAAACTGAAATGAATAATGGATTTTCTTGATCAGCAAGGAATAATGTTAAATTATTTAAAATAATAATAATGGTAACTAATTGTCTTGGCCTAGTGTGCCCTTGTTAATATGGAGATTCCATGAAGCCCTCAGAGATTTTAAACAAATCAGGTAAATTTGTGCCTTGTTATTGCCAATTCAAAAATTCAAATTCTGCTTTGCATCCAATGAACATCTCACCCTGTGGTAAATTTTACCGAAGGTCAAATTTGGATCTGGAAGTCGATCACTACAAAGTATTTACTTCTTTGTGGATACTTTTTGACCTTGTGTTCTTTTCTTTTTTTACTGTAATCCAATACTATCTTCAATAGCACATCCTTATAGTGCAGGTCAACTCTTTGCTGATGACATTAACTCTTTTAGACATAATATAACACTCAAATAACAAAGTATTTGATTAGTACTTTTAGCTTTGGGTTGTTTACTTTCCCAAGAAGCAGACAGACTAGTAAATTTAAATATTGGTTCAAAGTGATTAGTAGAGTTGAGTTAGGAAATATTTTTTATAATTGAGATAATTAAATTATAATTTTGAATATATCTTAACCATGAAGCTATATATCTATAATTTCATGTTTTTATAATCCTAATCCTTCCTTCAAATAATTATGTGGTAGTTTTGAGCAAAAAGAAATGCACACACACATACACATAAAAAAGAAACATTTCTGTCTGTAGTCTTACAGACCTTTCAATTCTTCATATCTTAACAAAATTAGTTTTACATATATTTTTCTGTCTCCTGCTTGTGTATATTATTATGTTGCAGACATCTTGCTAGGCACTATAAAACTTTAACTCCCAAGATGGCTGTGTTAGAGAATGGTTCTCACTGGGATATTTACAGGATAAATCCATAACAGTGAGTCCCAGTTATAAACCAACCCCTTAATTCCTTGCCTTTAAAAATAGTAACTTTACATTGTAATAAAACGATAATCTTTTCCTGTGAAATTAGTTATACACAGAGTAACATTAAATTAATTGTATCTAGAGACAGTTTAAATTATAAAACTTAATAATTCTAGAATGCCCCTAAATAAACACTGTTTACTCAATTACATGAATTCTTGCTGTCTTCTTTGTCTTGTATTGTTTGTTTTACTTGATTTTAATTATGAAAATTTTATTTTTGTAAATAATTTTAATTTGTCATGCTCAATTGTGCCTGCACGTACGTAATCCACATCAGTGACTAGACAGAACATGCCCTTCATCACAAATGCTTTAAGTCAAGACTGTTGAGATCTACTGATGCAATATTAGCTCGCTGAGAACTGATGGAAGTGCTGCTGACTCCCACTTCCCTTGTCTAATGTGAACCAAAGCAGTTAGTGGTAATGTTTATTTCTCTTCTGGTGTCCTTCATTTTGTTTTGGTGTGGCATCTGTTCTCAGTAATGAAGTTTTAGGCATTTTGTTTTAGTGCTTTCTGTACCCAGATTTTTCATAAGTAGGTGTGATTTAGTATCATTTTTCAGCCTGAGACTCTTAAAAAAAATTATGCAAAGCAATTCAAGCATAATCTTTGTTTAGTTTCATTTTCTAAACAAAATTTTCACTGCCATTCTGTCAGCTCTCTCACACCCTTATGAACTGAATCACAGTGATTCTACATTTTATGTAAATGGGACATTATTTTCTGCTTTACTCTCTAACATGGTCTTCCTTTCTTTGTTTTCTTTGTCTTTCTCTTCTACCACTGGATGCAATGCACTGGCACTAGTGAACTGCAGCCCTCCCTTGACAGGGCTAGGAGTGCTAGTACCAACTGCTTGAGACCAGATACTAGTTTGCATTCACCAGAACGAGAAAGGTATAAAATAAAGACTTTCTTAATTTCTTATCATTTGTACTAGTGTGGTTTTTTTTTTTTTTTCTCCAATCACTTTGTTTTGTTCCATGTGACTCTTTCATAAGTTAACTCATTCATGTTCACTTCCCGAACTGTCTACACTCCCCATCTCTTATACATGTCTGTGTAGAGATATGAGTATGTGGAAAAGTTCATGGGTACACATACACATATTTCTCTGTATGTTGCAAATGATGTGATATAATTTGTAACTGCTTCTGGCTGCTGCTTTTCTCCTTTTGTTGCTGTTCAATAGTTTTATTTATTAGAAAGCCTTCAGTATGCTGATAATGTTACAGGTCCAGTGAGTTACCTTATTTTAAGGGGAAAATAACTTCTCTATGAGTTACACTGATAAATAGTATTTGTAGGCTTAACAAGAATCTTTCATAAGCTCAGCATAGGAATTATGTTTAAATAGAATGCTTATTTTATACATTTGTTTTTGTTTTTTTTTAACCAGCATGGTTTTGACACATATAAAGTTATTAGGTTTTTACATTAAATTCTATTTTGACACCAAAAAAATAGAATGTTCATCATATATTTCCTGGTGCTGTATAAAAATAAATACACATAATATATTTGTTTACACACACACAGTTTTGCTTAAAATTTTGAATTGACTAATAAATATTTCTGATTTTACTTCAAGTGCATTCAGTGATTATATGTTATACTCTCATCTAATTGTGAGTTGCTGATTTTTCCGTTATGATGGAATGTTCTATTCCAGTAAACTTGGTTGTAATTTATAGTCTTGGTATAATTTTTGTTTCTTCTTAATTAGAAGTTATTCAGAGGAAATTTGCAAACTAGCTCTTTATAGATACTGAAGAAAAATATAACTGACTTCTTCAGAGTCTGCTTAAAGCTTTCCTCTAGCAATCTTTCTAGTCTGGTACTATTTGTTTATTTGCGAGATGTTTTACTTCTGGAATTGAATTGAATAATTGTTGTGGTTAAGTGCTGTGAAGTCTGTTCTGACTCACAGCAACCTTGTGTAAGGTTTCTGAGGAGCAGCTGGAATTGAATAATAGAGGCTGGTGTATGAACCTATTTTTAAATATCTTGATAAGATTCTACTAAAAGTCTACCTTTAAATGTTTTATTATTTTATATTTGTAAAGTTTGTAGCAGACAAATTTGAAATCTTAAAATATATTTTACATCCCTTTACACTACCTGTAAAGATTTATAGCCTCGGAAACCCTGTGCAGGGTCGGTATGAGTCGGAACAGACTCCATGGCACACAGCCACCACCACCACCTATATAATAGAAAAGATTTTAGCTAAAATGACTATACCAAAACCAAAAACCCACTGCCATTGAGTCTATTGTGACTCATAGTGACCCTGTACAAGTTTTTCAAGTTGTAAATCTTTACTGGAACAACTATCTCATTATTTCTTCCAAGGAGCAGCTGGTAGGTTTGAGCCACCAACCTTGTGTTTAGCAACCCAATACTCTATTATACCAAAAAAAATTTAATTTAAAAGAAGCAAGTAAATTTTTCTTTAGTTATTATAACTTATTTATATGAGGGGACTTCAAAAAGTTGTGGAAAAATTGGAATTAGAAGATGGAAATCATTCCACAAACTTTTTGAAGTCCTTCTTGTATGTTTCAGTTAGTTTTAAAACAAGGATCGAAATGTAGAAGTTAGTGGAATTTTTTTAATATGTGTAACCTATTATTTTTAATATCTGTCAGTATTGTCTAATAGAAATATAATGTGAGCCACGGATATTATTTTAAAGTTTTTACTATTCATATTCAAAAGGATAAAATCTGCGAGCGAATGTGCTAGACCACAAGGTCAGTTGTAATTGGCAGTTCAGGTTCACCAACCACTCCTCGGAAACCCTGTAGAGGGTCGCTATGGGTTGGAAATGACTCAGCAGCACTTAACAACAACAACAACATTCTTAGGAGTGGAATTGCTGGGTCATATGGTAATTATATTTAACATTTTTTGCTGAGTCCTGGTGTGGCACTGTCATTTTGACATATAATCCTGAAAATTGCTAATGGAATATTTTGCATTTTTTTCCATACTAAGTCTTTCACTTTCCATATTTGAGTGTTCAGTAACCACATGTAGTTTGTGGCTACTGTATTGGACAACACATGTCTTTTCTTATGGTGAAGCCTATCAGTGTATGTTCTCTTGTGACACCAAAACCATACAGATGTGTTTGTGGATTTAAACTTAAGTATTTGTGAATTTAATCTCTTAGATAATAATTCAACCAGACCACAATTATCACACAGGTCAGCATTAATTTTGAGTGTGAATTGCCTTTGATAGAATCAAAAATAGATTTAAAATCTTTATTCACTTTTTATATTCATTAAAGAAATCAAAGGGGATAGAGATTGGTATTGCAAAGATTTATTGGGGTCACTTTATTCCCAAGGAGATAGAGTGAGGTAAGTTTTCATTACAAAAAATATACAAGTAGTAGATATGATGTTTTGAAAGATGTTGTTGTTATTAAGTGCCGTTGAGTAGGTTGTGACTCTGTATAGGGTTTCCAAGGAACAGCTGGTGGTTTGAACCGTTGACCTTGTGGTTAGTAATCCAGTGCTTATCCTACAGCACCACACTAGGACTCTGAAGTATAGGAGCCCCAGAACCTTTATTTTGCACATACCTATAAGCAGCTTCAAAGCAGAAGAATTAACAGAGGTGATTTTATTTTCTTTGGAAAATGTATGTACAGACAGGATATGTGGACTCCTGGTGTGGCATTGTGGATTAATGCACTGAATTGCGAAGTCGGCTTAAACCATAAGATTGGTGGTTCAGGCTCACCAGTTACTGCTTGGAAACCCTATACAGGGTCGATATGGGTTGGAAGCAACTCAACAGCACTTAACAACAACAACAAAGATAGGATATGTAATGGGTAGGGAAGAGGGAAGGGACCCTGGTGGTACAGTGGATTACAAATTGGGCTGCTGACTGCAAGGTCAATAGTCCAAGGGAGAAAGATGAGGCTTTCTACTCCCATAAATATTTCCAGCTTCTTTACCCCTATACAAGGTCACTGTGAGTCTCAACTGATTTAACAGCACACAACTACCACCAACAGGGAGAAGGAGACTCAGTATTTTTTTAAGACTACTTAATTTATCTAGTTAACTATAAAGCTATAACAGTAGATAAAATATTAGATAAAATAAAACATAATTACACAGTCTTAAGTTAGTAACAGGACTTCTGGTGTGACGCTGTAGGATCAGCATTGGACTGAGAACCCTAAGGTCGGCCGGGCAAACCCACTAGCTGCTCTTCAGAAACCCTATGCAGGTTGCTGAGTCAGAACCAATTCAATTGCACTTAACAGCAACAGTAACAAGAAGACAGTAACGTATTTCCATGTCCTTGTGAACTACGAAGGTTAAACACTTTGCTGATTGTAAGTCATTTTAACCGACATTTATATGCTATTTTGCCAACTTAACCCTGTTTTCTAAGTCTCCTCTTTAAGTTTTAGAACAAATTAGGTTATGTGTTAAGGAGCTCTGGTAGCGTGTAGTGGTTACTACTTGGGCTGCGTTATAACCTCAAGGTCAGCAGTTAGAAACTACCAGTCATTCTGCGGGAGAAAGATGAGGCTTTCTGCTCCTGTGAAGATTTACAGCCTCGGAAATCCTATACAATGGGTGAAATTGTCAAAGCAGTCTCAATATCCAACAACAAACTTTACTAACATTTCAGAAGCTAGAGGAAAGACCAGGCACAGATGAAGGTATTCATTCCTAAAGGAGCCTGAAACTATTTTATCCATCTTTTCTTCCTTATTAAAATGATTTGGCCTAGGTTAAAAGCTATATTTAGGGCAATGCATGTGATAACAGTTTGGCAAAGGAAGCAGTTTCCATTTTGGAGCTCCTTCATTTCACATTGTTGATTACACAAAGAGAAAAACCTGCTTACAGATTGTCCATTCCCCAAACCAGTGATGCCCCATAAATCAATAAATCTCAGTCGAATCCGCAGCAGACTACCTAGAAAGGTTAGTTATAGTTTACCAAACACATTTACAAGTTAGGACTCTTTCATCTTTTCAGTACAGTAGCAAACGACTGCATGTTAACAAGGAGACCTGGTCAAGGTCATTGTTAATATGCCTGTGTGAGGTCACTCATTCCTGACTTCCCTGCTAGGGAAGGAGAGAGAACGTTAAAGGCCTATTAAACCTTCCCTTCCCATGCTTTGAAAGAAATTGTGACTTAAATATTTGGTGACACAACTTTTAGAACCCATGAGGAATAGTTACTTTTCTTAGATTTTTTGTCTTTTTCCTTGACCTTTCATAGCATTCATAGTCTTAACAGACGCCTCCTAAAAGGTTAGTCTAGACTACTGGTCTCCATTGTTTATCCTTTAGTATAATAGGAGTTTTGGTGTGGTGCTGTTCGATAAACTCTGGACTGTTCACAGTAAATTAGGCACTTTAAACCGATCAGCTACTCTTCAGTAACCCTATACAGGATCTCTGAGTTACAGTCAACTTGGGGACACTTAACAACAACAGCAAAGTAGGGTCTTAGCTTTCTGCCAGTCTGACTTCTATTGCTTTCCAGTGCCGTACCACTATGCCAAAATTATCCTATGGGTTATATTGTTGTTGTTGTAGTTAAATCCTCCTATAGAGTTGGTCCTGACTCATAGTGACCCTGTAGAAGGTTTCCAAGGAGCAGCTCATGGGTTTGAACTCCTGACTATGTGGTTCTCAGTCCAGTATTAATGTTGTTGTTAAGTGTCGTTGAGTCATTTCGGACCCATAGCGACCCTGTATAGGGTTTCCGAGGAGCAACTAGTGATAGGTTCCCTACTTATACGGCAGTATGTTGCAACATTGAAGCTCTGGTAGCGTAGTGGTTACGAATCGGGCTGCAAATCTTAAGGTCAGCGGTTCGAAACTACCAGCTGCTCCGCGGGAGAAA